ACGGCTGTGTGTGTGTGTGTGTGTGTGTGTGTGTGTGTGTGTGTGTGTGTGTGTGTGTGTGTACTCACCTAGTTGAGGTTGCGGGGGTCGAGTCCGAGCTCCTGTGTGTGTGTGTGTGTGTGTGTGTGTGTGTGTGTGTGTGTGTGTGTGTGTGTGTGTGTGTGTGTGTGTGGTGTGTGTGTGTATGTATGTATGTGTGTGTGTGTGTGCCCAGGAATAATGCTCCTCACTTCTAAGTATCCATACTACTAATAAAATACCTATAGTAATTCTAACACTTATCCATACTACTAATAAAATGCCAATAGTAATACTAGTTTCTAAAACTTAGCCTCTCTCAACTTCTACAAGTGTCTACACTTGTGTGTGTGTGCGTGTGTCTGATGGTTACCCCTCACTAGCTACACACCTCCACCTCTTCACGCACTCATCAAACCTATCTCCACCTTGTCTATGCTGTTTCTACTCTAATTCCGGTAATAGCTTACAGGAGTGAGTGACCGGTATCTAACAGTGTGCAGAGACCAGAATCCGACAACATACTACCACAATAAGTGAGAAGGACTTGCGGTGTGGCAGTGGGTCGATGACAAGTTGCCAATTGCTGATGTCGTTGTTAGCGTGCATGTAGGCCTTGTAACACTACAGTCGACCCTCAGCGAACAGCGACATTAAGTAATGCCAATTTCGTCTAACGGCGGTTTTTGCCGTAGAAAAAATACCTTGACCAACGGCGAAAAACTTAACCGACGACGTTCATCCGGAACATATCCCCAGCCACTCCAAGACTCTGTGTGCCATTGTTTACAAGCTGTTGCAGTCGGTTTCCACGTGTATCTCTCATATATTTTGGATTATTCCAATGTTTCTAGTGCTTGTAACTGCTAAATAAGCCACTATGGGCCCCAAGAAAGCTTCTAGAGCCAGCCCTTTGGTAAAGGGCATGTGAAACACGATAGAATTCAAGAAAAAGTTTGTAGAAAAATACAAAAGTGGTGGTGGTAGAGGGTGGTAGTGATGGTGGTAGAGGGTGGTAGTGATGGTGGTAGAGGGTAGTAGTGATGGTGGTAGAGGGTGGTACTGGTTGTGATGGTGGTACTGGTTGTGATGGTGGTAGAGGGTGGTAGTGATGGTGGTAGAGGGTGGTCCAGTGATTCTCAAGCTGGTCCTAGTGGCATTAAAAAACCAAGAAGGGAGGTAACCCCACCAAAGGACTTGGTACCTGAAGTCTTTATGGAAGGGGATTCTCCTTCCAAACAATAGACAATCCTGAATCTCCCCTGCTGCTGGCACATCACTCATCAACAACCCCACAATAAAGGTAAGTGGCATTTAATTATTGTTTATTTTGCATGTCCCATTCTTTTACATACAAGGAAATGTATATTTCATGTAAAAAAAAAAAATCAGACTTTCGGGGTGTCAGGCACGGATTAATTCTATTTCCATTATTTCTTATGGGGAAAATTAACTCGACCAACGGCAAGCCCTCTGGAACGGATTAATGCCGTTGGTTGAGGGTCAATTGTATTTTGAAAACCCTTCACCCGCGATAGCTAGCTATAACCGTTTATGCTCATACATCTCGCGTTCCTCAAATGTTTTCACTTTTCACTTTTGGTAGAATACACTTCACATTCGGTGAGCTACACTTATTTATAATGGCACACAACCTGTTATAACGTCACCACTTCAAGATAAGCCTACTCCTGCCACCTTCCCTAGTTATATATATTTTCTTTTCTCCCTTTATTTATTTTATTTTCTCATTCTCACCGTATGCTGCCCCAAATTTCACATGTTAATCAACCTCTCGTAATTCTTATGTGTGTGTGTGTGTGTGTGTGTGTGTGTGTGTGTGTGTGTGTGTTTGTGTGTGTGTGTGTGTGTGTGTGTGTGTGTGTGTGTGTGTGTGCGTGTGTGTGTGTGTGTGTGTATACTCACCTAATTGTGGTTGCAGGGGTCGAAACTCATCTCCTGGCCTCGCCTCTTCACTGATCGCTACTAGGTCCTCTCCCTCTCTGCTTCCTGAGCTTTGTCATACCTCTTCTTAAAACTATGTATGGTTCCTGCCTCCACTTGCTAGGCTATTCCACTTCCTGACGACTCTATGACTGAAGAAATACTTCCTAGCGTCCCTGTGACTCGTCTGAGTCTTCAGCTTCCAGTTGTGACCCTGTACTCACCTAGTTGTACTCACCTAGTTGAGGTTGCAGGGGTCGAGTCCAAGCTCCTGGCCCCGCCTCTTCACTGGTCGCTACTAGGTCACTCTCCCTGAACCATGAGCTTTATCGTACCTCTGCTTAAAGCTATGTATGGATCCTGCCTCCACTACATCGCTTCCCAAACTATTCCACTTCCTGACTACTCTGTGGCTGAAGAAATACTTCCTAACATCCCTTTGATTCATCTGTGTCTTCAGCTTCCAACTGTGTCCCCGTGTTGCTGTGTCCAGTCTCTAATATCCTGTCTTTGTCCACCTTGTCAATTCCTCTCAGTATTTTGTAAGTCGTTATCATGTCCCCCCTATCTCTCCTGTCCTCCAGTGTCGTCAGATTGATTTCCCTTAACCTCTCCTCATAGGACATACCTCTTAACTCTGGGACTAGTCTTGTTGCAAACCTTTGCACTTTCTCTAGTTTCTTTACATGCTTGGCTAGGTGTGGGTTCCAAACTGGTGCCGCATACTCCAATATGGGCCTAACGTACACGGTGTACAGGGTCCTGAACGATTCCTTATTAAGATGTCGGAATGCTGTTCTGAGGTTTGCCTGGCGCCCATATGCTGCGGAAGTTATTTGGTTGATGTGCGCTTCAGGAGATGTGCCTGGTGTTATACTCACCCCAAGATCTTTTTCCTTGAGTGATGTTTGTAGTCTCTGGCCCCCTAGACTGTACTCCGTCTGCGGTCTTCTTTGCCCTTCCCCAATCCTCATGACTTTGCACTTGGTGGGATTGAACTCCAGGAGCCAGTTGCTGGACCAGGTCTGCAGCCTGTCCAGATCCCTTTGTATTTCTGCCTGGTCTTCGATCGAATGAACTCTTCTCATCAACTTCACGTCATCTGCAAACATGGACACCTCGGAGTGTGTGTGTGTGTGTGTGTGTGTGTGTGTGTGTGTGTGTACTCACCTAGTACTCACCTAGTTGAGGTTGCGGGGGTCGAGTCCGAGCTCCTGGCCCCGCCTCTTCACTGATCGCTACTAGGTCACTCTCCCTGAGCCGTGAGCTTTATCGTACCTCTGCTTAAAGCTATGTATGGATCCTGCCTCCACTACATCGCTTCCCAAACTATTCCACTTACTGACTACTCTGTGGCTGAAGAAATACTTCCTAACATCCCTGTGATTCATCTGTGTCTTTAGCTTCCAACTGTGTCCCCTTGTTACTGTGTCCAATCTCTGGAACATCCTGTTTTTGTCCACCTTGTCAATTCCTCTCAGTATTTTGTATGTCGTTATCATGTCCCCCCTATCTCTCCTGTCCTCCAGTGTCGTCAGGTTGATTTCCCTTAACCTCTCCTCGTAGGACATACCTCTTAGCTCTGGGACTAGTCTTGTTGCAAACCTTTGCACTTTCTCTAGTTTCTTTACGTGCTTGGCTAGGTGTGGGTTCCAAACTGGTGCCGCATACTCCAATATGGGCCTAACGTATACGGTGTACAGGGTCCTGAACGATTCCTTATTAAGATGTCGGAATGCTGTTCTGAGGTTTGCTAGGCGCCCATATGCTGCAGCAGTTATTTGGTTGATGTGCGCTTCAGGAGATGTGCCTGGTGTTATACTCACCCCAAGATCTTTTTCCTTGAGTGAGGTTTGTAGTCTCTGACCCCCTAGACTGTACTCCGTCTGCGGCCTTCTTTGCCCTTCCCCAATCTTCATGACTTTGCACTTGGTGGGATTGAACTCCAGGAGCCAATTGCTGGACCAGTTCTGCAGCCTGTCCAGATCCCTTTGTAGTTCTGCCTGGTCTTCGATCGAGTGTATTCTTCTCATCAACTTCACGTCATCTGCAAACAGGGACACCTCAGAGTCTATTCCTTCCGTCATGTGCGTGCGTGTGTGTATGTGTGTGTGTGTGTGTGTGTGTATGTGTGTGTGTGTATGTGTGTGTGTGTGTGTGTGTGTGTGTGTGTGTGGTGTGTGTGGTGTTTGTGCATGTATGTGTGTGGTGTGTGGTGTTTGTTCATGTGTGTGTGTGTGTGTGTGTGTGTGTGTGTGTGTGTGTGTGTGTGTGTGGTGTGTGGTGTGTGGTGTGTGGTGTGTGTGTGTGTGTGTGTGTGTTAAGTGGCAAACGAGCTATTTGAGATCAATATTCTCGCATTTTTTTTTTCAGTCAATATGATGGCCAGTCTCTCAAATGTGTTAGCGAAGTATTGGGTTCGTGTCCGACACGAACTGAGTAGCAAGGTAGGGGCAGGAGAGTGGGGGGGACGGGGATGACAGTGATGATTTATTAAGAGGGGTGAAATAGATAATAATGGTTGGTGGAGGGGGCAGGATTTATAGAGATGGTTAAGAGGGAGAGTGGTAGGCAGAGATTGTTGGGGGAGTGGTAGACAGTGATTGTTGGTGGAGTGAGTGAGGCAGACAGATTGTTGGTAGAGGGGGAAGGATAGATAGCGACTGTTGTCGAGTGGATGGGAAAGACTGTGGAGTGGGGAGGGTAGACGGATGATTGGGGGAAGGTTAGACAGCGATGGTTGAGGAGAGTGATCACAGTAGATAGATACAGTTGTTAGGTGAGGGCGGGATAGATATAGATTTTGGGGAGAGGGGAAAGGGACGAGACTGAGTTGGATGATTGAAAAAAGTAAGGAAGGGACAGAGTGAAGATGTATGGATGGGGAATGAACAGCATATAATGTTGGCTTAAACCCCAATCATGCCTATATATCCGGCCACCTCTCCTTATCTATCGTCCCCCGACCTTCCCCACTTTCAACCTTCTTTATCTATCCTGGATCGGCGCAACACCTCACTGAACGTGTCCTTGTTTACCTTCTTCCCCTCCTCTCAGTTTGTTATTGTCGGCGTCCTCGTCCAGATCCTCGCGCTGTCGTCGGCATCGGGATCGCGTGGCCACCGCCAGGACAGTCAGGATGAAGACGAAGCCACTCACTACGCCCACGAACACAGCCAGCAGCGGGGAGGACTCCGTGGAACTTGAGTTGTCTAAGAAGAACACAATTTTAAGGAAATATGCTTGTAATTGGTATTATCCTTCTTTTCCTCCCTTTACCGCAAGATGAGGATGAATGTTGTTTAATTCTGTCATACTACAAACACCCTTCCAGGGAGAGGTCTGTTGATGTTAGTGAAGGAGGTGGGATCTGTTGATGTTAGTGAAGGTGCAGGGGTCTGTTGATGTTACTGAAGAGGAAAGAGTCTGTTGATGTTAGTGAAGGGAGAGGTCTGTTGATGTTAGTGAAGGTGCAGGGGTCTGTTAATGTTACTGAAGAGGGAAGAGTCTGTTGATGTTAGTGAAGGGGGAGGGATCTGTTGCTGTTAGTGAAGGGGGGAGTTATCTGTTGATGTTAGTAAAGGGGAGAGATCTGTTAATGTTAGTGAAGGAGGAGGGGTCTGTTGATGTTTGTAAAGGGGAGAGATCTGTTGATGTTAGTGAAGGGGAGGGGCTGTTGATGTTAGTGAAGGGGAGGGTTTGTTGATGTTAGTGAAGGGGAGGGTCTGTTGATGTTAGTGAAGGTGCAGGAGTCTGTCAATGTTACTGAAGAGGGAAGAGTCTGTTGATGTTAGTGAAGGGGGAGGGATCTGTTGCTGTTAGTGAAGGGGGGAGTTATCTGTTGATGTTAGTAAAGGGGAGAGATCTGTTAATGTTAGTGAAGGAGGAGGGGTCTGTTGATGTTAGTAAAGGGGAGAGATCTGTTGATGTTAGTGAAGGGGAGGGGCTGTTGATGTTAGTGAAGGGGAGGGTTTGTTGATGTTAGTGAAGGGGAGGGTCTGTTGATATTAGTGAAGGGGAGAGGTCTATTGATGTTAGTGAAGAGGAGAGGTCTATTAATATCAGTGAAGGGCTCTTGGTCAAAGGAAACTGAGTTTCCTTTCCTTAGATAGAATCTGAGTTCTTCTCCTTTCCCAGTAGTTGCATGACCATAACGGATTTAGATACCGCAGTTAACAGAGAAGACAAGACACAGGCTGCAGAATATTCTTCACCTGGACAAGTCTCCAGTGAAGAGTTATGTCGAGTCTTCCCCTGATGAAGTTCTACTCAAAGTGAGAGGTCGTGACTACATAAATATTATTATTATTATTATATTCACAGTAAAGCACTACATTTATAAAGATCGTTCAATCTCAAGGATTCGGTGGTAATCAAGCTTGGTACGCTAAAATGGAGGAAAGCTTGAACTCCTTGAATCAAGAGCCCTTCACCTGTATCAAGGTGCCCCTCCTTAAGAAAGTTCTATAAATGCGTGTTCTGTAGCTTGCTTTTGTCTACTCATGCGTTAATTATAACGTGTGTGTGTGTGTGTGTGTGTGTGTGTGTGTGTGTGTGTGTGTATGTGTGTGTGTGTGTGTGTGTGTGTGTGTGTGTGTGTGTGTGTGTGTTAATTAACCAACACCTACTATTAACCAATGGATGGAATATCTGTGAAGTAGGCCTAATACTTTAAGGGAAAAAAATCCTTAATTTGTTTTAAAATGTAAGAAGGAAATGAGGAATTTATGCCGTATAGGTATCAAGAATCCCATTAATAAAAATATAATGTTATCAACTTTTGGTTCATCTTTGCGTTTATCATCACAGATGAGGTTTTAAAGAGTGGTGCAGCAAAGGGCCATCATAACTTATCAATAAGAGGACATAACTCGCATGGAGGAACAAATATATAGGAAGAGTAGAAGTCTTAATATTTCGACTACCATCTGTGGTCATCTTCATCAAATATGAGAAGGAAATTATATACAAAAAACTTTTCTTGCCGTTTTCGTCTCCATGTGAATAATTTCCAGTCATCGACAGAAATAATACCAGGGTTGTGAATCATGTTAGGACTGATATATCTGTAGCTGTTGAAAGAGGAGACACTAAATGTGAAAGATTACCATCTTATGATACGATTGTATTCTCGACAACTCCTAAATGAAAGAGATTCTAGAAAATCTCATTCCCAGTAATTTGACTCATGGTAATATGACTCCCGGTAGTATGACTCCCGGTAGTATGACTCCCGGAAGTATGACTCCCGGTGATATGACTCCCGGTGATATGACTCCCGGTAATACGACTCCCGGTAATACGACTCCCGGTAATTTGATTCCCGGTAATTTGACTCCCGGTAATTTGACTCCCGGTAATTTGACTCCCGGTAATTTGACTCCAGAAAATTTGGCTCCAGGAAATTTGACTCCAGGAAATTTGACTCCAGGAAATTTGACTTCCGGTAATTTGACTTCCGGTATTTTGACTCTCGGCAATTTGGCTTCCATTCAATTTTACTTTCAGTACTTTCACCCCCAGTGTAAAAAAATTAGTTTCATTTCAATAATTAAAAATTAAAGTTACATTTTAAGTCGTTTTCAAATCAAACTAACTCTAAATCAACATACCAAAACATGACTTAGGTTAATCTTATTTAACATAACTTGAACTAATCTAACCTAATTTACAACAACCTAACTTGATCTACACTAACTTTCACCAACCTATCCTAACCTAACCTAACTTAACCCGCCCTAATCTAACGTAGCCTAATTTAATCTTACTTAACCAAAGCTAAAGTGTCCTAACTTAATCTAACTGTAGATGTTTACATAATTGTTTTAATATGAATTTTAATCAATGTTTTAAATAATTATTTTTAGTGTTTTAATAACTGATTTTATAACTCTTTTAAATTTTAACGTTGACTTTTTAAGATTGGGAGTAAAATTGTTGGCAGTCAGGAACCAAACTAGTTGTTTTTAGCTAACTAATGTTCTGATCAATAATCTAAGCATGTTTAGTTTCTTGTAGGGATTTGTTTTTAATCACACACTCAATATTTTCACCATTGAAGGTTGAATAACCACATGATACAGCTTGTCTAACAATCATACGAATTAAATTATGCATAGATATTAATTGTGGTGTATTTAATGCGAAAAAACAAATCTTTACGTAAATAAATTACGTATATGCATAACAAAAATAACAGAAATGTTCATACAGTAATAGAAATATATTTGCATCACAGTTTTTCAGGCTTTCCAGTTTGAGTTGAGTCCAGCAATAGTCCATCAGGTTTCCCAGATATCTCTTCTCCATGTAAGCTATGTCTTGATGAATTATATTACCGTGGGGTTCTTTTTAACAGAAACTGTACATGATGGAGCAAAAATAACTAAGTTTATATTTGAATTCGTCGTTACCAAATTAGTTAGAAACACTTGTTTTTGATTGCTGACTGAAGCCTCTGTTGGTCTATGTCACAGCCAGAGTACCAGTCACCAGTGAGAGAAAAAAGCCAATGTTACTTTAAGCAAGAATGCATCTTCTCTATTCATGGAATGTCAGGAATGAAAAGCAATAGAAAAGAGCGCAAAATAGAACATACACCTAAAGTATTGGTGGCAGACGGAATACAGTTCAAGACTAGATTGCTTTGAGTGAGTTACTTCAGGAAACCTAAGTGTAGTTTTCAGAGTGTGAGGGGTATTATTAAGATTTTATAAATTAGAAATGCACTGAAGAGAAAGTATAGGTATTTTTCACTGCATCAGTAGCTTTAAGCGAGAAGATTATATATATATATATATATATATATATATATATATATATATATATATATATATATATATATATATATATATATATATAATATATATTATATATATATATATATATATATATATATACAAAACAACCACTGTGAAAGAGTAGTGAAATTCCAAGCGCCTTCGTGACTACTCACATTGTCAAGGAACTATGAATAGTTCCTTGACCATGTGAGTAGTCACGAAAGCGCTTGGAATTTCACTACTCTTTCACAGTGGTTGTTTTGCATATTTTAAAATCACCTGTTTACTGTGATCTTATTGCATATAACATACCTCCTCCTAGCCTCTGACGCCCCTCACCCTCCCCCTCCCTCACAAACATACCTCCCTCCTAGCCTCTGACGCCCCTCCACCTCCCTTACTAACATACCTTCTCCTAACCTCTGACGCTCCTCCCCTTCCCTTACTAACATATCTCCTCCTATTCTCTGACGCCCCTCCCCCTCCCTTACTAACATACCTCCTTCTAGCCTCTGACGCCACTCCCCCTCCCTTACTAATATAACTCCTCCTATCCTCTGACGCCCCTCCCCTCCCTTACTAACATACCTCCTTCTAGTCTCTGCCTCCCCTCCCTCTCCCTTACTAACATACCTCCTCCTTTCTTACTCCCTCACCCTCCCCCTCCATTACTAACATACCTCTTCCTAGCCCCTGACGCCCCTCACCCTCCCCCTCCCTTACTAACATACCACCTCCTAGCCTCTGACGCCCCTCACCCTCCCATACTAACACACCTCCTCCTAGCCTCTGACGCCCTCACCCTCCTTACTAACACACCTCCTAGCCTCTGACGTCCCTCCCCCTCCCTTACTAACATACCTCCTCCTAGCCTCTGACGCTCCTCCCCCTCCCTTACTAACATACCTCCTCCTAGCCTCTGACGCCCCTCCCCCTCCCTTACTAACATACCTCCTCCTAGCCTCTGACGCCCCTCCCTCTAGCTTACTAACATACCTCCTCCTAGCTTACTAACATACCTCCTCCTAGCCTCTGACGCCCCTCACCCTCCCCCTCCCTTACTAACATACTTCTTCCTAGCCTCTGACGCTCCTCCCCTTCCCTTACTAACAAACGTCCTCCTAGCCTTTGACGCCCCTCCACCTCCCTTACTAACATACCTTCTCCTAACCTCTGACGCTCCTCCCCTCCCCTTATTAACATACCTCCTCCTAGAATCTGACGCCCCTCCCCTTCTCTTACAAACATACCTCCTCCTAGTTTCTGACGCCCCTCCCTTACTAACATACCTCCTAGCCTCTGACGCCCCTCACCCTCCCCCTCCCTTACAAACATACCTCCTCCTAGCTTCTGGCGCCCCTCCCCCTCTCCCTCCCTTACTAACATACCTCCTCCTAGCCTCTGGCGCCCCTCCCCCTCTCCCTCCCTTA